GCCAAAATTGCTCCTTTTAAATTGTCCTGTGGTGCAGAGGGGAGGTGGGTAGCTACCCAAACTTTGCTCTACAGATACAGTCTTGCGGAGATCTTTCTGCTGCTTGTTCTGGGATAGTAGGGCAGAGTCACTGGAAGAGCCAGCTGCTTTGTGCCACTCCACGGTGCAGAGTAACTGGAAAACCTGCTTTAACAGGCCAGAGTCGCCCAAGCAGGCTGGTGAATCTGGTCCATTAGTTTTCTTTTCTCGCCACAAGAAAAATACAGCAAAGCCCATGTTTACGACATCGTTTCTCCTGCAGTGCTTCTGTGCTCTCCTGTGACAAACAATTAAGTGGGTGTTTTCATTTTGGCTCATTCCAGTTCCTTAAAACAGCCAGAAAAGGCCTCCTTGCGAGTGTGGATGTTTCAGCCAGTTTAAAAGTTCTCGTTGTGCCAAAGACGAGGAGAAACCTTCAAGAATTTAGCTTGAAGGATCGAATTGCAAAAAGAACAGGTCATCAGGACCTGGAACCAGCTGCATTTTACTGCTATGATGGCAGAGAGATTTGCCCCAAATCATTGTTTCTTTCAAGCAGTCCCCACTGCTTTTTTGCTGGCAGTTTGACCGGCAGCTCCGCGCTCAACTTCACAGCATCGCCTGGTGGTTCGGGAAAAGAGTCCTGCCTTCTAGTGAGCTCTGCACGGTCTGAGATTTGTCAGCTTTGCAAAACCCTTGACAGCCTTCTCCAGTTTTGAATCAGACTTCACAGAGGCACGTAGCCTTGAAGACGATCTTTTTCTCCGGGGGCCTTATCCGGAGTCATTGGGCTTTTGAATCAGCCCCTTGTTGCTAAAGTCACAAAGCTTTATGGTTTACTATAGAAATGGGCCAAACACAGAGCAAGTTTTGCACCAACCCCTGAAAAGCAGTAGGCGTAGGCTGAGCTGGCAATGGCTACAGTGGGTTGTGCGTTCTGTATCCTCCTAGCAGGTGGCAGAGAAGGTTTGTTCCCACTGCATGCCGGGATGCTCTGGGAGGATTATTCATGTCGCAGTCTGGTGCTTAATGATTATTCACTCCTTTTGCTCTGTTCTTACCGAAGCCGGTGGGAGCTGCATGAGTCAGGACCCCCAATCTGATCTTTAATCAGCACGTTCACATTTTTGGTTCCATAAGAGTCTCGGCCAGGAAGTGCAGAGGCAGCAGTTGGACCTGGAAATAAGGACAGGAAGGTTTTTCATTCTGAGGTTCACCCGCAGGTTTAAAAGGGCTGTTTAATCCCTTGATGACACTGGCAGAAGTTGGACGTTGCCCAAATAAAATCAATCCCCATCTTTCCATAATGGCACTCGGATTTGCCCATCAATGAATGTGCGAGGGGTAGAATCCATTTCCCTCTGCCTGCTTCCCTTTTATTATTGATGTTAGTGCCACAAAAATATAGTGGCACAAATTCATCCCCGACTTAAACATTATTGTAGCTTCAGTGGAGTTACCCCAGGAACGAATCGACTTCATTAGTTCAGAAGCAAAGCAACATGCAATAACTTGCAGATGTGAAAAGATACACTGGAAAAATGGTTTTGCATCTAATATATTTTGGAGACACGTCAGTTGGTATATTTTCTTTTATTGGACTTTACTTGACAGGTTCATTTCTCATCTGTTCTCCTGTGCTGCAGTTTGAGCTTTGATACCATTAACGCTACCAAAGAAGGAAGGAAATAAGATACAGACTGGAAATGCCTCATGTTTCCTCCTGATTATCTCTTTGGTCTTTGGGCTCTCAATCAAAGT